TCAGAGGAGCTGTTTGCATCTGTCCTCCTTGGATCAACAGTTGCTTTTATCTGTCACCAGGTTTCTAGCCACACCCACACAAGGCCTTTGTCTGCATCAGACCCCTTATTAGTCTACTCAGCCTCCGCCCTGTCACCAACCCCACATCAACCATTTGGTTAAGAAGGAGGATAGCCAGGGCTGTTTTTTTTAATCATCTCTAAACCCTAATTTGTATTCACCCAAATCTCCCACCCCATCCTCTTAACCCCACCCCTGGGATTTCACTGAGATTTCTCCCAACAGTTATTTTTTTGGGGAAAAAAGGTAAAACAAAAAAGGTTTAAAGTCTTGGTGCTCAGCCCAAGGGGCTCCATGCGCTGAGACACCAACGGGCAGGGGCCTCTGCCTCTCCAGCCCGCACCCAAGCCACCTCCTGACCCCTGGCTACAAAAGCAGGGAGGGGCAGGAGCCAGCACAGGACCCAGGGGGGCAGCATCTCAGGATCTGGTGGAGCCCCAGGCAGCATCATTCAACTTGGCCACTGTGGACGAACACAGAAACAAAACAAAACAAAACACTGTCAAGTAATAGGGGAAAAACCGTGAAATCCATCCCAGTCTCTGCCCCATGACTGCTCCACACTTAATCATCAGGTTGCCTGACACGTGTCTCAATCTTATCCATAAGGAAATTGCAAGAAATTTAAAAAACAACAACAACAAAAAAAAAAAACACCCTTCAGTTGCTATCCACAAGGAGGTTTTTTGCTTGTTTGGGAGATTCTCCTAGAAAACACACCCAGAAGCAATTCCTTCAACAAGGTATAAAGTCACTGGAGATCTCTGGAGAGCAAGGTACCCGGTTGAAAGCAGGTGTGGTGTGTGAGTTAGGGGCACAGCCATGCAGAGCAGGGGACACTGGGGCAGCTTGGCAATGGGGTAGTTACCTGTGTGGAGGCCAGGGCCAGTCACACACGTGCTGAGTGATTTAATAATCTTGGTTTAATCAAAGCAATTTTCAAGTCAACCTTCCTGGCTAAGGAAGCTACATACTCTCTGCTGTGGAAACAGTTGGCAAATACAGAATATAGTCTGCTTTCTCAGTCCTGCAGATGGCCAGGTAGAGACCGACAGTTCACATGAATTCTCTATACCTTCTGTTGCTTCCTGAAAACCAGACTCACTGTAAACATCAGTCTTGAGGACTCAAACTGACCAATAGAAGGCAGCTCAGACAGAAAAGAAAAAAAAAAGTACAGAATTCGAGCAGATCGGAGATGAAGAAAACGTACAAAATTATATATATATTTATATATATAATAACATGACATATCTATGTACAACATGGCTGGGACAGTTGAGGAAACTATACAGTGATGTTCGGCATTTTCCCCTTCCCACATGGACTTTAGATTAAGGATGACAGCATGAAGGAATGGAGCAAGAAACACAAAAAATTATATACAATTACAAATGACAGTCAAGGAATGTGGGGGAGGGAGTCCAGGGATCCTGCTCTCTCTGTTCCTTCCTCACCAACCATTTCCTATCCAATCTAAACCACAGCCCAAAAGCTGAAGTCGGGACACACACAGACCTTGCTCCCCCACCCTCACCCTCCAGCAACAAGCTGGCCAGTCATTCGCAATGGACAAGTAGCTGGCAGTCAGCATTTGTGAGCTGGAAAGGCAAGAGGATTACAGAATCTTGCTTTCTTTCACAGTTACTTCTCATCCTGGCCCTGTTTATCACAATTAGTAGGAAATACTCCTAAGATTCAGGCCAAACTAGCATAACCAGACTGCAGATACCAGCCATTACAACCCCTTTCTTCCACCTGACTGACCTTATCACATAAGAGCTAGTTTACCAAGCTCTAGGAAGGCAGCTCTCTCAGTCTTCCTGCCTCAACCATTTTCCCCTGCTTCCTCCAAGGTAGGCTGTGTCCTAAGAACCTGCTGTGCACCCCTGCAGCAGCACAAAACCCTCAGTTTACCCCTTCTCTTTCCCTAACACTCCTGGCATTTGATTACATAGGAAGCAAGGGTCACCACACGGACATGACCACACACGTTTCCTCAGTTCTGGTGCCTGAGAAGCATTTTGGTGGCCAAGCTTCAGACAGAGGCTAGGAAAATGGGCCATGTCACAGACAAGAAGCTTCCATGTATTAGGGATCAAATCTCGAGGTGCTCTATCAGAGCTACACCCCCAGCCCTTTTTAAGTTGCCCACATGGGACCTGAACTCAGGATCCTCCTGTCTTAGCCTACTGCTGAGGTGTGCCACTGCGCCTGGCTCCATGGCTAGCTTAAGAAGTTTTTCAAAACCTCAAAACTATGATACCTATGAGATTCTGTTGCCTGAATTGATAGACTTCAAAGTCACAAACATCCTCCTTCACCATGCAGACTTCAAGTGACTCCCCTCTGGAGCACTTTCCCAGGATTACAGAACAGAGGCTCACTCATGGGCTTTCTTCACTTAGTTTTATAGTTTTTCTGTTGGCAGGTACAGGAGTTTAGAATCAAAATGAATCTTACACATACTGAACTCCATTTTAAAGATGAGGAAACAGAAATCCAGAGAAGCCAACCAACTTGCCCAAGGTTATTCACTGGTACTGCCAAGACTGAGTGGAACTAGATATCAGGTAGCCTGACTCCTAAGCCAGTGCTCTTTCCACTGTTCCACAACACATTCAGAAGCAACACACTGGAAGAGAGAGAGAAGGCGCCCATCTTCATGAGTAATGTTCACCAAGCTTTATACCATCTGAGAGCCAGGGCAAGCTGTAAGGAGGTTAAGTGGGCATTACAGTTTCAGGCAGGCAAATCAGTTTCCTTTTTGAGGATTTTTTCAACCTGCCATGATGGAAACATGAAGCAATAGGAACCTGAGGGACAAACATTTAGAAGCACAGAAAACACTTCTCATTCAGCCTACCTTTCGCAACTATGTCAGCTTAGTCTTGGGATGTTAAACTGCCACAACTGCCAAGGCTCAGCCTAACCAATTTGGGGGCATATTCTTCCAAAGGGAGAAAGCATATCTCCCCAGCTTCTCATGAAAGAAAATGAGTTTGCAGCATTATCCAATCCTAGTCTTTCCTATTTCCAGGCCCCTACTTGGGCTAGAATGAGGGTATGAAAGTCTCAGTCTAACCAGAGAAACAAATTCAGAGCCCCTCTTCAACCCACATAGCCTTCTCAGCAGCCCACAGCAGAATCAGTCTTTCCTGGCTAGCAAGCTGAGAAGACCTGACTAGGGGCCCACTCCATCCCTGCCTACGACATAGAAAAGTCCAGTGGGTGAGGAAGGGGAGCAGAGGAGGGCCCAGGTTACCCCGCAAGCTTGCTGGTGACGAGGGAGGACTTTCTCTGGGGCAGATCCTGTGGGGTGGGGATGTGGTCACCAGTCACCAGGTTCTTGTCTGGTCCTGCACTTGGCAGCTGCTTATTCTTCATCTTGGCTTTGGCCATGTTGTAGTCTCCTGAGTCAAAGTACTTTTGCTACAAGATGAAGAGGGAAGCTTAGGTAAGTAAGGAGCTCTGGTATTCCTCAGAAGCAAAGAAGTTTATTATAAACCTTCAAACACATTCAACTCTTTCAAGCAAGTCTTTCTTATGCATATGAATTTTTTTTTAATGCATATGAATTTTAGCACTAATTTTATAAACTTATGTCTTCTCTCCAATGTGTTCTGACTTTTTCAGATAAAGAAGTAATTATCTGGAAAGAATATATAGTTTTACAGTCAAAGGACAACCCCTATATTCTCTATACCTTATTTGGTACAGGGCAGTTCAACTATTAATTACTTACGTCATTCAGAAAGGCTTACTGGGGACACTACTAAGTGCAAAGCAGTAGCTTGGAGCTAGGGAACAAAAATCAATGATACATAGAAGGGTCAATCCAGAGCCATCCCAGCAATCAGCAGGAGATCAATCTCAAGCCAACAACCTCAAAATTAAAAATTATTCTCTCAGACCAGGAATAGACATTGGGCTTGTTCATAAGGATAATGTGTTTCCCTGAGTCCCGCCACGCCCACACATGTTCTGCGCTGACAGCCTGCCCACGCCTGCCTTGCCTGTGGGGAGGTAAACTGCAAATCAGCATCACATTATCGCTGGTGACTAAGACTCAATAACAGGGATTCTCCACAGGAATCTGTTTCACTCTCCATTTCATCTACTGGAAGTGCTTGCTCCAGTTTAATGTTGTACAGTCCCTCAGTTGGCTTAAGGTACCTCTGAGGACTGAGAAACCTGAGGAGGGGCTAGATGGCTATGAAGATAGATTTTCCTTGCTGAGCAAGACCATTTTGGACAGGAAACATGTCTCTTAAGGGAGTAGAACCTGTGGCTGGTACTGATTTATGCGCCTGAAGCAATCTACCTATTTCAAGTTAAGGATTTCTGTAGGATAGATGGCTTGATTTTTTTTTCCTGGAATAATACATCCCCAAATTTATCTCTAAAAATCAGGAGTCCTCAAACCTTGCCATCCAAACAGGAAAATGGCTGTGGACACTGCATTTCCAATTTCTAGTACCTACCCCAATTTCTTTTTGGTACCGGGAATCGAACTCAGGAACCTGCACTTGCCAGGCAGGTGCTTGTGCCACTGAGCTATCTCCCCAACTCACTCCCCTTTCTACCATGCACCCAAACCCCTACATTTTAACTTAATTTCATATATGGGCTATAAGAAGAAAACTGATACCATATCAAGGATTTATGATTTGTTTTTTCCTTTTCAAGTTTTAATTCCTTTCTATTAGTGCCCCAAAATAAAACCTCCAGAAAAATCAAACAGATGAATCTGGATAGACTTAACAGAGTCCCCTTTGGCTCCAAAGTAAGAGGATAAGAGATTGTGTTCCATTCATACCCCTTTCTGGAGTCTCTTCATGAGGAAGTCGGAGCCTCCAGGCTTTTGTCCTAGGCTTGGATATTTGGCCTTTAGCTTTGCCTCCTCAGCTCTCTCAGGAAGAATACCTTCTTTCTCCTGTGTGTCCTGAAGGAGACAAAGGACCCAAATAAAACTAAAGAGTGAGAAACAACAGCTTCTAATATCTGATAACCCTATGCTATCAACTTTTCCTGAAGATCCACCTACTTGCAAACAAGTTATGTCCACTCTACCCCCCCCCCTTTTTTTGGTTTTGAGAAAGGTTCCAGGCTGGCTTAGAATTCTCTCCACAAACCTCCTACCTCAGCCTCCTGAGTGCTGGAGTTATAGGTCTGGGCCTGTACATTTAGCCTATTCTGCTCTTAAAACACCTTTTCAAACCTCTAAAACTCAAGACAAGTGTATTATGAGAAGAAAAAGACAAGTTGCTTTGCCCAGTACATCCGATAAACCACTCCAGTAATCTATGGGTTAAAGTTAACACCTAAACAGAATATCTGAGTCATAGAGTGGGTCACAGCTCACTCACCACAGACAACAGGAAAGACATAGAGAAAAAAGGATCTAGCCAGGGCTTCTGGTGATGCAAAATGGGTGGAAGGGCACCCTACAGTCAAATGGGAAACCAATGGGGATAAATCATCTGACCTATTCCCTCTTTATTCAGAACTTAAGCCCTCTGGAATTTCTCTGTGGAGGACTTGAGCATGTGAATTTCTTCAAAGTTCTCTATCTGAGTAGTGGTACAGGGCTGCTTCCACCTTTCTACAAATATTGGGTTAGGGGCCTGAGAGATGGCTCAGTGGAATAAGCGCTTCCCTGGCAAGCATAAGGGTCTGAGTTCAATCCCCGGTTGGGCGGGGGGGATATATATGTAGCAAGGTGATAGCCAAATAATTGAAGCAACACTTTTTCATCTCAGGGAAATTAAGAAACGGAGGTTCACTAGTATTTATCTGCCAGTTTTCAGCAAAACCAATCAATGCTTACCCTAGTGGGGGAAGTAATGGAAGTCTGGGCAAAGAGCAAGACAGCTCAAATGTTTTGCAGGGGACTCTCACTGTTCACTCTGCTGCTGACGTGGGCCCTGCTGTTTGTTATTTTTTAAAAGAACCTGAAGTCAATGTATGGGTCTTACTAAATTTTTCTTTGATAGTCATGTACAGATTTAACACCACTTGTATTTCAAGAGTCTCTGAACCCAGTATTAAATGTTTCAAATCAAATACAAACTCAAGAAGGAGTTTATTTTCATATTTTCACCACGGAACCGCGGGTGGACTAAATCCCAAATCTGTGGGAAGTGGGTGGTGTCTTTTTCGTCACGTCTGTCAGCGTCTTTTCTAGGCTTAACCTCCACTTGGAACTCTAGTCCATTTAAATCCAGTTCGGTCCTCACTAAAGATGAACCCTATCAAAATCAGTCTCTTGAGAAAGTTGTCGCCTTAAACTAGCAGTGGTAATAATCATTCTTTTCCCCTCCCCCAATGCTAGTCCTTTTTATACATCTTTGCCTCGACCTGCACCTTTATACGGTTTAAGTTTGCGGGTCCCAGCCTATTAGACAGGTCACTCAACTCTATTAACAGAAAAACACCTGGCAACCCAGGACCACCAGCCCCCTTTCATTCAACCTGATCTTTCCAAACACCCGCCCACACCCAAGCTCAGCCAATTATAGCATAGCTTCCTCGGTTTGAGCGCTAGGTTTCTTAGCCAATGAGAAAGGATATACCACTGACTGACAACAGCGATAACCAACCTGCGCCAGAGTATCAGACCTTCTTGGAGCTCACCCTGCGTGACGCAAGAAGTAGCCAACCCCTGCAGAGACTGCGACCATGGCGACCAATCCGCACTGGTAAGAGACCCGTCTCCCGCCTCAGCACAGTGGCCCCGGTTAGCCCGCCTGCACCCCCTCCATTTCACCTGCTTCTCCTCGCCGGTCTCCTCCGCAGGGTTCTCGTCTTCTTGCTTCTGGGACATGGCGGGATCGGGACTGGAGTGTAGGGAACCCGGGAAGTCAGCCGGAGACGGGAAGGGGGAGGGGGAACGGGGACAACCTGAGCTGCTGCTTCGGCTCTTGTCACTATGGTTGCTCAGTTAAAATGGCGGCCCTTGTCCGTGACGTTGCATCCGCCCCTTTCTGTGGAGGCCAATGAGAGTGGGATAGCTGAGACAATGACGTAAGGACCAACCAATAGTGACTGGCTGAAAGTGGGTTCTACAGAGGTGACGAGCAAGTTGGAACACCAACCTGGAAAGAGAGCGAGCCACAAGGACCAATTGGGAGGCCGCAGAGGCTCTTGGAGGCAGGGCGGCTGTCCTCGGCGTTTTTGCTTTTGGGTGGGCTCAGAAATCCTTTGCTTTTTTCTAGGGGAGCTACTGAACGTCGAAGTGGAGCCACAGGATACAAGCCATTTATTCTAGGTGGAAAGGATTAAGCTTTGTATAGTGTTAACAGGAAATTATCGCTTTCCAGAAATAAAACTTGTGTAGGTTAAAGTCGACTTTAAAGTGATATTCAACAGTTTTCCCATGTGTCATTCATTTTGTGTGTGGAATGGAGTCCCAGCTTAAGCCGTCTTGCAAGAAACACTATGGTTTCCGCCTTACGACTTTATAATTACTCAAGGTCATCCCTTGATTACCAAGCTTCTTGAAACTGGGAGCACAGATACATTAGGCATTTGGTAAATATAGTTAATATTAAGATATCCAGTACTGGTGGTTGAACTTGGGTCCTTTGCACTGAGCTCCATCCTAAGCCATTTTTAAATACTTTGAGTCAGGGTCTTGCTAAGCCACCCAGACTGGGCTTCGATTTAAGGTCTTCCTTTCTCAGTCTCCCATATTCTTGTTGAAGGTATTGGATGAGATTCTTTGGTCTCAGTGGCATGCACCACTACACCTGGCTTCAACAATATTACTTGAACATCTATGCATCAATGTAACTTTGTGTGATGTTACTGTATTAGTTTTACGGGGGTGGGGCATGAGTGTGGAGAAAAAGGGCTTTCAGGTATTATCTTAAGTCCACAAATGAAATAGACATATCTTCCTGAAACATTAGTTCCAAAAAACAGCATAAAATAGGCATGGTGATGCACCCTTGGAATCCTAGGATTCAGGAGTCTGAGGTAAAAGGGTTAGTGTGAGTTCAAGGCCAGCCTGGGCTATGCAGTAAATTCAAAGCCACCCTGGATTATGAAACAAGACCCAAAAAAATAAAACAAAAACAACAAAAAGAACTTCAAACCAGGAACATGGAATGTGCCGGCACTCCTAATTCTCAGGCGGCAGGAGGATCACTTCAAGTCTGAGGCCAGCATGGGCTACACAATGAGTTCAAGACCAGTCTGAATTAGTGAGACCCTGTCTCAAAAACAAAGCAAAACAGAAAACCCCATCAAAGCCAAAAACAACAGCAGCAACAACAAAAATCATCCTTAAAAACTCAGGCACTTGCCGCTAGAAACGAAGAAAGTGTATTCTAGATCAAGGGCACGACATGAAGGCTAGAGCAATAGAAGGGAGGTCAGGACATGGAGGATTTTGTGTCAAGGTAAAGAACTTGTGAGTAGTTCAGTAATCAATGAAAGACATTTTAGGGGCTGGAGAGATGGCTCAGTGGTCTAAAGCACCTACTTAGAACAAGCTTAGCAAAAGCATCAGGGACCGTGGTTCAATCCCCCAGCACCACATGC